CCTCCCGAGTAGCTGGTATTACAGGCACGCCCCACGATGCTCAGCCAATTTTTTTGCATTTTTGGTCGAGACGAGGTTTTGCCATGTTGGCCAGGCTGTATTTAATTTTGAGCATTAGAAGAGTTTTCTGTTGCCGCACAGACTAAGTCTCATGTAATATTATCTAAACTTATATGCCTAGATAGGTGCATCGTTGCTTAATCTATAATTTAATCTAATACTAAAATCTAAATTCTTTCACCCAATCTCATATTCCTAAATGTTCTAGATCAACACTGTGTACTATAAATGTAGTGAGCCAATGTAATTTCATATTTTTAGTGGCTATTAAAATCTTTTTAAGAAAACAGGTAAAATTCGTTTTAATAATATATTTTATCTTACCCAGTGTATCAAAAATGTTATTTCAACATGTAATCAATATAAAAATTATCAATGAGATAGTTTACATTCTCTTTTCGTTCCTGAAATCTGATACATGTTTTTGATTTATAGCATAGCTAAGTTTGGATTATTTATGAGCAAAGTTTGGATTGCTTATATTTGTAGCCTCCATATTGGAGATCGCGTTTCTAGATCGTTTCAATGAACACAAAGAGTTTGATTTGATAACACTGTTCACCCAGTAGCCAGGTTAAACACTTACTGATTATGTAAATATAACTAATGAAACTAATGCAAGAAAATAATGTTGAAAGGAGTAAGATATTTTGTATTTTTATCATGTTTAAGATAGGAATTTTTGTCTGGTTTAATCACCAGGAATCCATGCCACAGATAATTAACTAAATTCAGGCTTCAATTATTTTAATCTTTAACATCTACAAAACACTAAAATTACACATTTTTATAAAATTAACATTCAGAAACATTAAAAAGCCAAAAAATTTTACAATAAAGGCTCTCCTATATCTTGAGGGCTATAATTTACCTAGTAGTTGTGTATGTTTGGCTGCTTGGTTGTTTGATTTTGTTTCATTTGTTTCGTTGTTAACTTCTGGTTAAGCTCTAACATAATCCTCACCATCCTGAATCTGATTGTTTTTATGGCCATGTTTTGATGTCTTTTCTGATCAACACTTGATTGTGTGTTTTGAAAATACTAAAAATTGTGTTTATTTTTCAGCGTGTTTTCTCACTGCTAGAAAAGACTTGGCTTGGTGCACCAATACAGTTTGCCTGGCAAAAAACATCGGGAAACTACCTTGCAGTAACAGGGTAAGAAACCAATGAATGTTTTAAACAATGGTTGTATGCCCATGTAACAACACCATCTACTCAGTAAAAGTTACTTTTTTTTAAAGACGGAGTCTAGCTTTGTTGCCCAATCTAAGCTTACTGCAACCTCTGCCTCCCAGGTTCAAGTGAACCTGGCCTCAGTAAAAGTTTTTGTGTAACAGTCGTATGGTAGGAAAAGGAATATATTCATCTCCATTAACAACAAAGGTCATAGAACCTTTTCTCTGGTAGTAACTTTTTAGATACAAATTATGAAACTATCAGGAGAAAACACTGAAATCACTTGGATGGCACCTTTATATGCCATCCGAGAGATAAATGAAAGAAACATTTAGGGGGAGGCCAAGACAGGCGGATCACTTGAGGCCAGGAGTTTGAGACCAGCCTGGCCAACCTGGTGAAACCCTATCTCTACAAAGATACAAAAATTAGCCAGGTGTGGTAGCAGGTGCCTGTAATCCCAGCTACTTGGGAGGTTGATGCAGGATAATTGCTTGAACCTGGGAGGCAGAAGTTGATGTGAGCCGAGATGGTACCACTGCAGCCTGAGTGACGGTGGGAGACTCCATTCCCCAAAATAAAAAAATTTTAAATCATATCTTTATGTTCCAATTGCTTTCAGAGCTGATCATATTGTGAAAATCTTTGATCGCCATGGTCAAAAAAGAAGTGAAATTAACTTACCTGGGTAAGTACAGAAGTAGATTAAAAAACCTGTCAAGCTTTGTTGCCTAAAAGATTTAAAAAATACTGCCTTAAAATTATAGTCAAATAGAATCTTTTGCTTTTTCCATTTGCAAAGGGAATTTTTTATGCATAAGTAGTTGTGGAATATATAGAGATCTGGTTTATGAATTAAAGTTTCTATCTATAAACACCCATTTATTTATTCTATCTATAAATACTCACAGAGAAGCCTTAAGGCAAGATTTTAAGTCAGACCATGTGAAAGCATTGAGTCCACAGGAAGGGATTCTTTTAAATTATAAACAAATCTTAGTGTATGTATAGGCAGATAAGATAAACCTATTATCTACTTTAGTTTTTCATCTCTAATAAATTGTTGAAAAACCCTTACTTTTTGCATAACTTTGTAAAGGGTAAAGATTTTATCAATTTTCAGGAAATCATTCTAGATTATACTAAGCATAATTGAAGCATTTTTAATGATTCAGTGTAATCACTACCTATATTAGTTATTCTACTGATAGTCTCAGTGGTTATTAAGATGGATAGAGGTCCTCCCCTAAACTGACTTATGCTGCGGTGCTTTTACAATTCATGTAAGCTTTTTGTAGTTTATTGACCAGTTTTGAAAATCAGGTTTTACTTCACTCAGTCTCTAATAACCTTTCCTACCTCCTGCCCAGCCCCACCCACCTAATGCCATCATTTTGGCATTTTCCATTAACTCTCTTAATTATGGCTTCTGGTTTCTATGTTCCTGGAAACTGAGGTCAAAGAAGCTATAATTATATGTGAAATTTAAAAAAGGCGAATGCCTTTTTTAAAGTAAGAAGCGTCTTTGAGTCAATTGTGTGAGCTTTATTGCATGATCTTGGTGGCATCTATTTGTTACGTAACGGCCTCGTGTCTGCTGGATTGCTTTGCTGTGTTCAGAACGGTGGGATTTAACTGACAGAGGAGCCCTAGACAAAGAAAATGCTGTTAGAGACACAATCTTTAATTAGCAGATCATTTTATCAATAATTTGAAAGCTTCTCCCTCTTCCATACTCCCTAAATCTCTGAATCTATTTTAGAAAATGAAGATCCTAAAACATATTTCAACATTTTGAATAATAAAATAATTAAAGTAATTCCCAACTGTCCTTAATATAAATCAAACTATGGGTTAGCTGATGCCCAAGAAGCAAGTGTCTCTAAATGAAAAATGGCATCAGAGACGAAAAGGTAAATATTCTTATTAAGGATTAAGAATGTGTAAAGTTTTTATAATACACATTTTGGAATAATAGCAAGAATCATGTTAAATAGACCATTTCCTATATATAACTATGTTGTTAACTTAATCAAATTACTCTCCTTATTTTTCGCCAAGATATAAATGAAAATAATGGCGGGGGCCAGGCACGGTGCTTCACACCTGTAATCCCAGCACTTTGGGAGGCTGACGCAGGTGGATCACCTGAGGTCAGGAGTTCAAGACCAGCCTGACCAACATGGTGAAACCCCATCTCTACTAAAAATACAAAATTATCCAGGTATGGTGGCGCATGCCTGTAATCCCAGCTACTTGAGAGGCCAAGGCAGGAGATTTGCTTGAACCCAGGAGGCGGAGGTTGCAGTGAGTCAAGATTGTGCCATTGCACTCCAGCCTGGGCAACAAGTACAAAACTCCATCAATTAAAAAAAAAAAAAAAAATAATAATGGCCAAGAACAGGGACTCACACCTGAAATCCCAGTATTTTGGGAGGCTGAGGCAGAAGGCTCACTGAAGCCCAGGAATTTGAGGTTATAGCGAACTGTAATCACTTGAGCCCAGGAGTTTGAGGATATAGCGAATTATAATCCTACCACGGCACTCTAGCCAGGAAGGAAGGGAGGGAGGGAGGGAGGGAGGGAGGGAGGGAGGGAGGAAGGAAGGAAGGAAGGAAGGAAGGAAGGAAGGAAGGAAGGATTCTTATTTACCACTTTGGAATTCAGTATTTCCCTTTTTTTTACAATCTACCCAACTCAATTTATCTAGCTATAACTTTGCTTCTTTTCTTTTATTTTTTTGAAACAGGGTCTCACTCTGTCTCCCAAACACAAATATGGCTCATTGCAGCCTTGCCCAGGCTCCAGTTATCCTCCCACTTTAGCATCCTGAGTAGCTTAGTAACATGTGCATACCACCACATCCAGCTCATTTTTTTTTTTTTTTAAAGAGTTTCCCATCTTGCCATTTTGGCCAGGCTCCTCTTAAACTCCTGGGTTCAAGCAGTCCTCCTGCCTTGACCTCCCTAAGTGCTGGGTTTACAAGTGTGAGCCACTATGCCTAGGGTGTAACTTTGTTCATTATTAATGCCTTCTTTTCCTCTCTGTCAATCTAAAATAATCTTTCAAAACTTGAGGGAAAGAAGGTGGGAAAGAGGGAAAGGTGCTTGATGAGTTTGTTTTATCAAAAGGCAGTTTCTTTATAAGATTTAAGAAAACTAACTTAAACATAGTTCAGTTTAATGTAACATATGAAAATGGTATTAAAAGTAAAATTTAAAATTTTTCCATCCCCTCAACAACTGCAAAAAATTGAAGTTAGTATTACCCATGCAGTGAATAGTAAGTTGTAGTTCTCATTTTACAGAGTTTATCTGTTCAAAATACATTGAATAGTCTTGTTATAGACAAAAGTCACAAATAGCAATTGTACTTTTAAAAAATGTTTAGTGATATTTTGGTCTCTTTTTAAAAAGCATCTGTGTTGCCATGGATTGGGATAAAGACGGAGACATCCTAGCAGTGATTGCTGAGAAATCTAGCTGCATTTATCTTTGGGATGCCAACACAAATAAGACCAGCCAGTTAGACAGTGGCATGCGGTAAGATACCTTTTTTATTTTTAAAGCTTCACTTAGAGACATGAATATTTGTAGGTTTGATGCTAACGATTCTTTACTACTTTCATTTTAAAGATACCTCACTGAGTTATTTTCTTATAAAAGAAAAAGATTATTTTATTATTGTATATATAATCCTTCTGTTAATTTGACCCAATTAGAATGAAATTGTTATAATTGTGAAATATAAATAGCTTCTTAAACAGTTGCTTTCAGTGGAACAGACTAAGAAGTGCAGAGATGGGACAAAATATATATGGGAAAATCCAGAGATGGGCTTGACTGTAGGCATGGCTGGATCTAGGAGTTAGAATGGTGCAACGAAGACTTTTTCTCCATCGCTCAGCTCTGTTTTTCTCTATGTTGACTCCATTCTAAATCAGCTTCTCACCCACAACTACTGGTAGCTATCAGTGTATGTCATTCTTCACAGCAAGTCATGCCAGAGAAAAGAACATGTATGTGCCTTTACATCACCAGAGCCCATTCAGATCCTCAAAAGCCTTCTGAGTGCAGTAGGCAGGGCCATGGATTGGTACTCCCACCAAGTGAAAGGAAAGGTGAAGGCCAGGGGAGTTCCCAAATGAAAAAAAAAATCTTGGGCAGACAGAATAAATGACAGATACCTGCTCAAATAGAAACCAGTTTTCAATATGAAAAAGAAAAACTTGTCAGTATTTCCAACTAAAACTTTACCATTTTGACCTTGGACAAGTTGCTTAACCCCACTCCAAACCTCAGTGTCTTCATCTGTATGGCATGGGTAGAACATCTGCTTCACGGCTTCATGTACCCCTCAGGTGGGGAGGAAGAGATCATATACATGCTGTGAGTTTTAAACTGTAAGTTTTCAGTTTATTTACTAAAAAATAACAGAACCCAGAGAAAGCAAGGTGGTCACGTAGAACAGGACCAAATAGAAGCAAGGGAGTGCAGTGCCTTTGACCCTCCAAAGTGGCTGTTGAGGCAAGTAGCTACAGAAGATACTATCTACCAGTGTAGAGTCTTCCTAAATCTAAGAATCTTCATTTCTTGCTCTGTCCTCTTACACTTTGGGTTTACATCACTTTTCAGAAAGATTTTATACACTCTGTGCTTCCATTCAAGGGAATGTTTAATAAACTTCAAGTACTGGTTCTTGAGCCAAATTCTGCAACAGTAAGGCCGTGTTCTCACTCAGAGAAAAGTGCATGATTAATCCCTGGGTGTTTCTGACTTGCATCTCTGCCTCCAGCTCTCTATCTCCCTACAGTGTCTGTTTTTCCACATCATCTCAGGATTGTAGTGATGTTTAAATCTATGTTATGGCCAGGCATGAAATTAAGACCCAAGTAAATGGTAGATGTTATTGTAATTGTCATTAAAATAAAATTAAGGTTGCTTTACTGTTGATGTTTATATTTAATGTCTAAAGGACTTTTGTATATACAAAAGCATACCCACTATTGTTCGTTCTTTATTCAAAGGCCAATCTGTTACACTAGCTAGTTAACAAATGAAATTTTGAATATCAATTTTTCTTCAGTACTTTTATTTAAGAAGGTTCTATTGTACCCACCTTGCTTCCTCTAGGTTCAGTTATTCCTTAATAAATAAGTGCTTTTAAGCAATTTAGTTTCCATTTATAGAATTTATCTGAAGTTAGTCTTTTGAGTACTTCAGATACCTTAAATAGTACACAAAACTTATCCAAATATAATTATCACAAAACTTACTGTGGTGGCGCTTAACTAAACTGCTACATTTAATTGAAAGAGTTGAATTCATTAATTTTTCCTATATATGCTTTTATACTCTTTTAAGATTATAGCAGTATTTACTCTACTCCTGGCTAGACTTAACAGAAGTAGTCATTTAATTATGTAACTGGGATATAGTCATTTCTTTCCAAACATACATATAGGGAACTTGTGAGAAATGCCAGTTTTCAGATCCCCGCCCAGACATACTGACTGAGGAACCTTGAAAGTGGCCCTCAGCTACCTGTGTTTTAATAAGCCCTCCAGGTGATTGGAACACCTTAAATAGTACAACACCGTATTTATTTGTTTGGTTTACTAACTAGTGTAACAGATTGGCCTTTGAATGAAGAACAAACAATAGTGGGTGTGGTTTTATATGTACAAAAGTCCTTTAGACATTAAATATGAACATCAACAGTAAAGCAACCTTAATTTTATTTTAATGGCAATTACTAACATCTACCATTTACTTGGGTCCCTATATGTAACATCTGCTTCACCAACCAATTCATTCTTGGATGGATCACAGAACATGGTTGCTTTTCCTAAGGCAATTTGGACCCGAGTACTAGGCATCCTTCTCAATGTCTTTTTAAATTGACCTTCAGTTGTCATGTTAATAAAATTCTTTTAAGCCCATGCATTATACATAGGTTATGATTTTTTATAACCTATGTATTTCCCCAGGAGAATATATTCTTTAAATTTTGCTTGGCCAGAGATACATGTGATTGTTATACGTTGTCTTGATCCAGTAGCGTTACTGGAAATTTACATATGCTTTAGTATCATATTGGAATCTGCAGGGCTTTCTGCGGGCCCTATCTCCTAAGAGAAGAGGGATGGAGTTTGTTCAGTTAGCTCTTCTTTTGAGGACATTTGATTTCTTGATCTTCTTAGAACACAATATTTAACACTTCCTTTCTCGTTGGTTGTTGTGTGACGTCAGTGCTGATAAACTATTGAACGGACTAATGTTTATCCTATATATGATCACTGCTGCTGATCAGATCTTGTTCTTGTTATACGGTTCTTTTCTCTGATACTATTTTTAGCTCATGCAAAATTACTTTTATTCATATTTTCTTTGAAGAAGTCTCCAAGACAGGATTAAATGTGTAAGAGATTTATTACAGGAAATGCCTGTGAAGGAATAGAGAGAGGTTAGAAGAGACTGGAAGAGCTGTCAGACCACAGTGCATGTCTGACCCTTATAAATCAGAGCAGGGAAGAAGTAAGTTTGGGTAGAAGCATCTTGAATTGTGTGTAGCACAGGTTTTTGTTTTTGTTTTGCTTTGTTCGTGATGGAGTCTCCCTCTGTTGCCCAGGCTGGAGTGCAGTGGCTCGCTGCAACCTCTGCCTCCCAGGTGAATGCAATTCTCCTGTCTCAGCCTCCTAAGTAGCTGGGACCACAGGTGCCCACCACCACACCCAGCTAATTTTTGTATTTTTAGTAGAGATGGGGTTTCACCATGTTGGCCAGGCTGGTTTCCAACTCCTGACCTCAGATCAGATCCTCCCACCTCAACCTCCCAAAGTGCCAGGATTACATGCGTGAGCCACTATGCCCAGCCCATTAAATTGTAGCACAGTTCTAATTCAGAAAGTTCAGCTAGGCCTGTTGGGAGTCTTTGGGCAAAAGTTACCTGTCAAAGGAGTCCTGCCCAGGAATGGGCCTCAGCAGTTATCTCTCCCTCACTCAGTTGTTATCTGGGAGCAGCGCATGAGAAAGCACATCCTGGTTCATTGAGGTGATGGATTCCAAAGCTAGCAGTTGGGGCTCTTGGTCAGTTATACTTTCTGCAGACAGAAGGAAATCTGAGAGGCACATTATTGCAGCTATGTACCTACTTGAAACAAGGGAAAAAAGACTAAAATGCATATTTATCTTTCGTAAAGTAGAAACTTAATAGAAGAACCTAGCAGCCTGATGTTACTACTCCCTTGCTTATTAAAATTAGTTTTTAACTAAACATTCTATGCTTCTCTTATACAACTGATTTTTCCACAGACTTCATGTTTTTCTCTTCCAAGTAACATCATGGTTTTACAACCTTTCACAAACTCAACTTGTATCAATGAAGTACGTAAATTTTAATCCTCAAATTCTCCTAATTTAGCCAGAGGAAACCTCTTTAAACTTACTCTTTTGTCCTTTTATCACTGTCCTCAACATTACTGGAAGCAGTATTGCTGTCTGAAAACCATCCCATGGTCTGTCCGTGGTGCTCAAAGTTTAGGTGCGTCAGAATCTCCTGCAGGGCTTATTAAAACACAGGCAGCTGGGACCCACTTTCAGGGTTCCTCAGTCAGTATGTCTGGGCTGGGATCTGAGAACTGGCATTTCTCACAAGTTCCCAGATAATGCTGCTGGTTCTGATTTCAAATTTTGAGAACCACTGTTCTTAACTCATTGTGATTTCTTTTCTCAATATATGGAAAGAGGTACTCTCCAAGAGGTTCTGCTTCCCCTTGGTAGAGAATTGTATAACACTTCAACCTTTTGAATCCTAGAATGTATAAAAGAACTGTAAGAACTGGTGGTGGGCAAAAGTGGTTTTTTTTTTTTGTTTTTTTTTTGAGCTGGAGTTTCGCTTTTGTTGCTCAGGCTGGAGTGCAATGGCATGATCTCTGCTCACCACAACCTCTGCCTCCCAGGTTCGAGCGATTGTCCCACCTTAGCCTCCCGAGTACCTGGGATTACAGGCATGCACCACCACACCTGGCTAATTTGTATTTTTAGTAGAGACAGGGTTTTTTCCATGTTGTTCAGGCTGGTCTTGAACTCCCTACCTCAGGTGATCTGCCCACCTCGGCCTCCCAAAGTGCTGGGATTACAGGCATGAACCACTGCACCCAGCTAGCAAAAAAAGTGTTTTCTACCTGCTTTTGAGCTACTCTCAATAGTGACAGAGCTAGAAAAGATACGTCCTTTTTAAGGTCATGAATTCGCAGTGATTTTTCCCCTTTAACGTATTATGTTATTGGATGCCACTTTTTTAAAGCATGAGGTTTCACCATCCATTAATATTTTTAATCACATTTAGAGCTAAAACTATCACTAATAAATAAATTAATATCTCATAGGTGATGTCATGAATTTTGAGGTTCTATCATAACTGAATTGAAGTCTACATTCATTATACATTTGTATTTTGAGTCTAAATGACCCTCAGATCATCCTATAGCATCTCCAAAATGTCTGTAGCATTTAATCTTTGTCCTAAAGCATTAAGTTGTATTTTATACTTTGGCTTCTAAGTAGTTGTTAAAATTATCCATGGAATACTTTTTTTAAAGGACTGTTTAGAGGTTGTGATCATGAATTGTTTAGTAATTTATATCTTAATGTTACAGGGATCAAATGTCTTTCCTTCTTTGGTCAAAAGTTGGAAGTTTCCTGGCTGTTGGAACTGTTAAAGGAAATTTGCTTATTTATAATCGTCAGACATCTCGAAAGATTCCTGTCCTTGGTAGGTGACAGCTGGAAACACTGCTAAATATTTGAGATGCTTTACCTAAATGTAAATTCTGCTGCCTCGGATTTCCCTGATCTTGCAAGGGAAATTTTGTAGTATGAACCCCCTCCCCATGTCCCCCTGAGGTCTTAAATTTAGCTAAACATGAAGATCCCTCTTCACTGCTTACTAAGAACGTCCCGGGGTACATAGAATAGATTGAGTTAAAGTCGGCCTGTGCCTTTGACATCAGGACATTAATAGCATGGCTTCCATTTGTCTTTTCTCACCCAGATTGTACCTCTGGACAGGGAATAGCTCATATGCATATGAACACATATTGATAATATGTGCTATTTTTGTTATTAATTTTAGTTAATTTAGTTACATTACAATATGTGGTAATTTTAGTCCAAATAGTAGACATATTAAAGCACTTACTGCTTAGACAGACTATATCAAGATTCCTAATTCTGACCCCTCACCCCCTCCAAATCCTAGTTAAATCTAGGTATGGACTATGAGTTCCGTTTGCCTGAGAGTTTGCAGCCAGAGGATGTTTTTATGCGTTCCTCGTGTGACCTTGTTTCTGTTCTTTCATTCCCCCAACTTCTGGTCACTTGGCATCTGCCCTCAGAATACCCAAGAAGAAACATCTATTCTTATCAATTATTGTGACATCATGATGATGAGTGGTAGAACCTAATGGGCTTAATTGCATCCAGGTGGCCAGGAAAAGTATCACTTAATGCTAATAAAGGAATTAGACTCTGGAGATAGTGGTACCCACAGATACTTGAGATAGTGCCCTTCCATTGAAGACAGTCATTTCAAATTATTTTTACATATATGTATCTCTTTAATGTTTAGCATTAATTCTTGGTGCTATCACTAAACATTAAATGTCATTGAACTATTTGAAAAGTTAAAATTTTTTAAGTTACAAAAATCAACCTTAAATTAATTTGTTTATTAACTGTTATTGATGTTAAGACTAACTTGATTTCTGAGCACTGGAAGCAAAAGAGTCTTGAGATATATAAGGAGGAGGAGGAGGAAGAGATTTTCTTCTCCCTTTCTTGGGTATAGAAAGAAGTTTGTCTTTGGCATCTTCCCACTTGTCTTTGTATAGTCTTTTCCCCTTTGTGATGCCTATTTCTTTAGACACCCAGTTCCAGTATAACACCCAAGTCCCATAATCTATGATCAGCAAAATCTCTTCTGTAGCCCCAGGATCTTCTCTGAATATTTCCTTCACTTTTGTGTTCTGGTCTCCTGATTTGAAATACTGTCTGTATCCTGAAAACTCCCAAATTTATATCTCTTCCACAGTGTAGACTCCTACATCCGACTGCTTACTCGACATCTTCAATGAGGTATCTAGTAAAACACTCCAAATTTAGTGTCTCCAAAACCCTCTTGAGCTTTTCTTTCCACCGTTGCTGACATTATATTCTTCCAAATCTTTAGACCAAGGTTTAGGGCCATCCTTGACTCTTTTCTTTCTCATACTCTCCACATCTAATTTATCAGAAAATCTTACAGACTCAATCTTAAAATATCTCCAGAATCCAGCCTGTCTTACCACCTCTACTGCTACCACCATGGTGTGGTCTCAAACATTTCCTACCTTAATTTCTACAGTCTCCTCTTTACTGGCCTCTCCACTTCAACTCTTGCCCCACTATAGAATCTTTTCAACCCAGAGGCCAGAATGAGCCCTGTGCTCAGAACTCTTCAGTGGTTTCCATCTCACCCAGAATCAAAGCCACAGGCCTTAAAATGGCCAGAACAAATCTTCTATAATCTGGCCTTTGCAGCGTCTCTGACTTCACCTCACGTTCTTCCCTCTTCATTTGTCTGCTGCAACCATACTGTCCTTTCTGAGCCTCTAACACACCAGGCAAACTCCTGGCTCAATGTCTACTCACTTAACCATTTTATTTAATACCTGCTTTCTGCATAAGTACTGTATTAGATTCTATGAAGAATAGAGTGAATGTGGTCTCTGCTTTCAGTAACAGCTAAAACAGCTGACACTTAGATAGCATTACACATGTGCCTAGCAGTTTGGTCAGTGCTTTAATTCAGTTGAACCTTAACTCTACAAGAAGTCCTACTATTTTTCCCAATTTATGGATGAAGTGAGTAAGAAATAGAAAGCTTGGCTGGGCATGGTGGCTCATGCCAGTAATTCCAGCATTTTGGAAGGCCAAGGCAGGTGGATCACTTGAGGTCAGGAGTTTGAGACCAGCCTGGCCGACATGGTGAAACCCTGTCTCTACAAAAAATATACAAAAAAATTAACCAGGCATGATATTGGGCTTCTATAATCCCAGCTACTTGGGGGCTGAGGCAGGAGATTTGCTTAAACCCAGGAGGCAGAAGCTGCAGTGAGCCGAGATTACACCAGTGCACACCAGGCTGGGCAACAGAGTGAGACTCCATCTCAAAAAAAAAAGAAGGTTAAGTAACTTACCTAAGGTTTTTTCAGTAGGTAGTGGAGCTAAGATTCAAAGCTAGGCAGTCTGGCTCCAGAATCTATACACTTAACTATTCTAATTAGTAGAATTACCCTTGGAACTCAAGGATTTATCTATCCCAAGACATTCAAAAATGCTCATAGTGTTAAACAGCATGTGATTTCCCCCCAAAAATACTGTTTTTTGTTGTTGTTGTTGTTTGTTTGGTTTTTGTTTTTGAGACAGAGTTTCATTCTTGTTGCCTAGGCTGGAGTGCAGTGGCATGATCTCAGCTCACCGCAACTTCTGCCTTCCAGGTTCAAGTGATTGTCCTACCTCAGCTTCCCAAGTAGCTGGAATTAGAGGCACACGCCACCATGCCTGGCTAACTTTTTGTATTTTCAGTAGAGATGGAGTTTTTCCATGTTGGTCAGGCTGGTTTCGAACTCCCGACCTAAGGTGATCTGCCCACCTTGGCCTGATAAAGTGTTGGGATTACAGGTGTGAGCCACTGCGCCCAGCCAGAAATGTAGTTTTGCACTGGCTAGAAGGCCTAATGAAAAAGCTTCCCAATAGTTAATGCTTATCTGACATTACTCATTAGCTTAGTTACACAGTTCTTAACACAAGTCTTGCTGGGGTACATTCATACAGGTACATCAGTATTATAAATTATTTTATATCTTTTAGTTATTACTCGTTTTGTTTTTCTGAGAGATAAGGTCTTGCTCTGTCACCCAGGCTAGAGTGCAGTGGTGTGATTACAGCTCACTGCAACTTCAATCTCCTAGGCTCAAGCGATCCTCCCACCTCAGCTTCCTGAGTAGCTGGGACTACAGGCGTGCACCACCAGACCTGGCTAATTTTTTTTTTTTTTTAATTTTTGTAGAGACAAAGTCTCACTATTTTGCCTAAGCTGGTCTTGAACTCCTGGGCTTATGCAGTCCTCCCACCTCAGCCTTCCAAAGTGCTGGGATTATAGGCATGAGCCACTGTACCCCCTAACTCTTTTAGTTATATATGAACAGTTAAACTGTGAATGTTAAATCTGCTTAGGTCAAAGGTCTATCATACCATCAAACTGAATATAAGTAAAATTAACTTCACTGTTTTGGGATTTACTTCTTTTAAGACATTATCTTTGGAGCCAGGCATGGTGGCTCACACCTGTAATCCCAGCACCCTGGGAGGCCAGGGTGGGCAGATTGCTTGATCTCAGGAGTTGAAGACCAACTTATGCAACAAAGTGAAACCACATCTCTACAAAAAATACAAAAACACCAGGTGTGGTGGCTCCCAACACTTTGGGAGGCCAGGGGGTGGCAGATCACCCGAGGTTGGGAGCTCAAGACTAGCCTGGCCAACATGGTGAAACCCTGTCTTTACTAAAAATACAAAAATTAGCCAGATGTGGTAGTATGCCCCAGTAATCCCAGCTACTTGGGAGGCTTAGGCAGGAGTATCGCTTGAACCTGGGAGGTGAAGGTTGCAATGAGCCAAGATCACAACACTGCACTCCAGCCTGGGCAACAGAATGAGACTCCCTCTCAAAAAAAAAAAAAAATTAGCCAGGTGTGGTAGCATGTGCCTGTAGTCCCAGCTACTTGGGAGGCTGAGTTGGGAGTATGGCTTGAGCTTGGGAAGCAGAGGTTGCAATGAGCTGAGATCACACCACTGCACTCCAGCCTGGGTGACAGAGCCAGATCCTGTCTCAAAAAAAAAAAAAAAAAAGACATTATCTTTGTAGGTTTGGTTATACAGTAAATAAACAAAACTTGTCAAGGAGCAGAATATCTTTTTACATTAGGGCCTGTGCTTATATCCAGATAAACATTTG